TCTCTCTCTCTCTCTGTCTCACTGATGACTGAATTTTATTTATTATTTATTTTGGTCGATGATTTCATCTTCTGTGCATTCAGTCACTATTATTATCATTATTATTATTATGATTAGTATTATTATTATTAGTAGTAGTAGTAGTAAGATATACAAATACTCTGTTTGGTCTGTATGTCTGATTTTTATAGTATAATTTTCACATTAAAATCATTAAACTCATCTACTCCTTCTACCTCGTTAAAAACGACAGAATGTGTGTTGTTGTAATTGTGATGTCACAAATCCTGCTCGTAGGCTCCGCCCCTTAAAATCAGCTTTTTAATGAGCTCAGAGAAACTTTCCACTTTTAGCAGATAAATGTAAAAACATGCTTCTAGAGTCAAACTCTGCACAGACATCATTCAACCATCAGACTGCAGGAACAGGAAGATAAACTGAGTGAAATCTGACTGGACGGGGACTTTAAATACCTTTAATTTAACAATTTATTGAACAGTATAACATTTAGTTCTCTCGCTCAATTACACATTTATTGCACTCGTCAGTAGTTGGTGGAGTCAGTGGATGGTCTGTTCATCCTGCGCTGCTGTACTGAGATCACACTGACATTCATATATCACTTTATTTAGGAAGCTTTCAGTCTATCTGACCTTCATCATACAAAATAAATACTACAATGGACAGGCAGGTGCAAAAAAACAGCCTCCATCAACAGCAGTATGCAAAACAGCTGCGTTCACCCTGCAGGCAGAACCTCCGCCTCTTGGGAAATGTAGTTTCAAGGTGCTGTGAGACTACAAATAGAAGCCATGCTTGCAGCAAAACACAAAGAAATAGAGAAAAGGAGGGCAGAGCACAGTGAACACACGAACAACCAGAACGGGAAGCTCCTGTAATGTCACCACATTGTGGATGTACGAGGGCTTTGGAAAGGAATCAGGCCAGAGCTGTCATATATCAGAGATCACCCAGATCTATACGAGGCCAGAGACGTCTCAGAGCACCGACAGAACAAAGAGCTGTGGAGGATCTTCAGGCGTCGGCCGTCGTCAACCACAGGCTCTAAATCCTGCGTAAGAAATGTATGAATATTGATCTATAATCACAGTGACAGGCAGGAAGTCTGGCTGCACCCTTCGTGGTAGAAAAACCCTGCAGACAGCACTGGCTGGAAATGATGCTGGAGATTATAGATTATATTATAGGACAGTATTAGCTTTAAAAAGTATAATATATAAACTATAAAACACATAAATGATGATACATACTATAAGCATGCATCCTGTAAAATGTGTGATGCTGTATAATAAATGTGGGTGTTTTACACTCATATGTGTGCTGCTATATATTTAACAATTAGGATGAACTGCAAATTTTATTTGTCTTTGGGAACTACAAGCGTCAGTGTTAAAGGCCAATGCTGTCATCCAGTTTTGGGGACTACTTTACGTCGGCCTCCACTTCCCATGGGAGTGTGTGACACCACTGTGCTCATTCTCAAATGCGTACTGATCCAGAACAGACTCAGAAGCATC